TGGCTTTCCATAATCCTCATTATCCAGATCCACAGATACAAAAATGAGCTGTAGCAGAAAGAAAGGCTTCTTAGAAGTAGCCTTACCAAGATTATATATATCCGCAAAGATCCTTTTTCATATACTTGTCATGCGAAACAAATCATATTAAACAAATCAGGTTAAACCTGGCAGGACCTATGTTCCTACCTTTCCTTTAAATGATTTCGCAGCTTCTTGAAACTCCGGAAGAACCTTTTCCGAGTCATTTTTGGTTGCAAACAACAGCAACTGCAAAGAGAATATATATTTTCACGTTAGTAAACCAACCTAAACCATCAGTAAATCCCACTAAAAACATTGACATACCTGCTTCTTGATTGCGCTCTCAAAAATTTCTGGGGCACTCTCTCTGGTGAAAACAGAGACCAAAGGAAGCTTGTTGGCAGACACAAAACTAGCTAGAGCAGACTTAACAAATTCCCCATCTGCCGATTAACAACATGCACATAAATAAGCAAAGCCCAAGAACAAGATGGCTGAATCAAGGCATAACAAAGATTTACCAAAATGGCTAATCTTCTCCTCTTCGCGCTTAACTAGGACCAAAGCAGGCCGTTTAGACTCCGGATCGATGTGAAACATCTTGGCAACATCGGGGTTCACTGTTTGATAGAAGTTCACATCGTCTTCAGCTTTGGAAGCAGCAGCAAGTTGATCGTGCTCCACACCCTGTGAAAGTGTGAATTCACAATTTGAATTTCCACAACTGTGTTACTTTGAAAACGAACAACAACGATTCACAGACCAGAATACCAAGTGGATCGAAGAAACCATACCACCAAAGAGTTCAAGTAACCCAAGACGACTTTGTTCCCAGAAGTCAACACTTTCTCAGCATCATCTAATGTGGTTAGATTATACACACCAGGACCTATCTTCTTCTTCACCCATGTCACAATTGTTTCTCTAGAATCACATAAATCCTAGCTCTAGTCAGATCAGAGACACACCAAATTTGAGAAATTCGATTCCAAAAAATCCAATTGAATACGAGATTCACTTACTTGGTCCTTCCTCCAGTGTAAGGCTTGTGCTCGCCATCAATAAAGAAAAGTAAAGTCGGGAAGCCCTGAACACTATACTCCTGAGCTAGCTCGTTCTCCTCCGTCGCGTCGATTTTAGCCAAAACGACACCATCGTCCTTTAGCTCCGTCGCGGCTGCAGCATACTCAGGAGCAAGAGACTGACAATGTCCACACCACGGCGCGTAGAACTCAACCATAACGTATTGATTATTCTCAATCACATCGGTGAAGTTACGCTCCTTAATGACCACCACATCTTTCTCGTCGATTTCCGGCACCGGTAACGGATCCGAATCAAGGTTACCTAGATCGGAGAGA